TTCCACCCGCTAGTTCACTCCCCAGATGGCCGCAACAGCCGTGCCTGGGCCAAGCCAAAGCCATGAGCTGGAAGCTCCTTCTGGGTCTCCCATGTGGGTGGCAGAAGCTCAAGTCTTTGAGCCACCACTCACCACACAAGTGCTGTGTCCCAGGGTGTACATTAGCCGGAAGCTGCAGGTGGAGCAGCTGGGACCTGAAGTGGAGCTCCAGTGTAGGATGTCAGTTTTGGAAGTGACAGCTTAACCTGGCACGCCACAACAGTGGCTCCCCACCCCCAAACATTCCCAACAACGTGAATGTTTACTACCACGTGCAGAGCCAGTGAAAGAAGAAGCAGATGTATGTGTCATTGTGTGAGAAGGGACTGGCAGACCGTGTATACGTGTAGAATAATTCCAGGCACCTCTGATGTGGGAGCATGAGTGGGATGGAGACAGCCTGCAGTTTTATGCTGTGCTAACACGTGAAGGTACCTACTCCGCCCTCCGCTCATCAGATTGCTCTCAAAGTCCTGGTGGGGTTGTGATGTGTGTGCCCACTCTATCTGAGTGCACTTATGAACTGTCAGGTCAGAGGTGTTGGTGTAGTCACAGATTGTTACTGCTGTGTCTAGCAGTGCACCCCCCAGTAGCTGTCACTCCCCAGCTCACTCTTTTCTGTCGGGGAGTTTGCCAGTTCGGGCCATTGCATGTCCGTGGAGTGCTGTACCGTGTCGTCGTTGGTCACCGTGTCTTTGCCTTCATGTGTCGTTTGAGGCCCGTCCGTGTTGCGGCGTGTTTCGGTGCTCTTCTGCGTCCCCACCGTGGCCGGCCGGGGATGGGTCGCGTGGGCGCCCTGCGTGCCGTGTGGCTGCTTGCTGGTTAACACGCGAGGCTTTCCCAGTGCCGGCGTCAGGAACAGCGCTGCTGCAAGCTTTGTCCCCTCTGTGTGGACAGGTCTGGGGTTCTCCTGGGACCCGTGTGGGAGTGGCCGCCTCTGCTCTCTAACACCCTTCGCAGTGGTTGTAACTGAGTCCTGGTTGCTTAGGAACGGCACTGTAGTTGTGTAGGCTGGAAGGTCTGTCTACACGCGTTCTCAGACATGAGCCGTGAGCTGACACGTGTCTGTGAGTAACGTCGATGTTTTCCAGACACAGTGATTAAATTTAGGATTACAAATTTTTAACAATGTATTTATAACATTTTGTTCTGCCATTTTTAAAAACTCATAGTCTGCCTCTTGTTTTTTCGAGGGTCTCTAACGCTCGTGGGCCATTGGCCCCAGCCCTCTGTGCCTGGGTGTGAAAGCCCCCTCCTGGCGGCTGTGGGAGACTGTGCTAGGATAAGGTGTGAGCTGTGCAGATCCTCAGAGGGACGCCCTGTGACTGAGCACGAGGACAGGCCTCATAGGCACCCTGCGGCCCGGAAGGAGTTTGCAGCGTATGCCACACTGACCCTGCAGCCAGCTCCTGGCGCCTGCCCATATCCTGGTGACGTAGTCTGTGTGAGTGCACGCTGACACACGGCAGTGGGATTTCCCAGTGGCTCATTTCTCTTTAAATTCTCTTCAAAGATTTATTGATTTGAAATGCAGAGAGAGAGGGATGCCTTCCATCCACTGGTTCACTCCTCAGCTGACTGCAACAGGCAGGGGTGGGCCAAGCCAAAGCCAGGATCCAGAAACTCCATCTGGGACTCCCCCAAGTGTGGCAGGGGCCCAACCACTCACTGCCTTCCCAAGCACATTAGCAGGGAGCTGGATCAGAAGTGGAGCATCCGTACTCGACCCTGTGTGCTGATAGTGGATGCTGGTGTCCCAGGCACATTAGCAGGGAGCTGGATCAGAAGTGGAGCAGCCACACTCGACCCTGTGTGCTGATAGTGGATGCTGGCGTCCCAGGCACATTAGCAGGGAGCTGGATCAGAAGTGGAGCAGTCACACTCGACCCTGTGCGCTGATAGTGGATGCTGGCGTCCCAGGCACATTAGCAGGGAGCTGGATCAGAAGTGGAGCAGCCACACTCGACCCTGTGTGCTGATAGTGGATGCTGGCATCCCAAGCTCATTAGCAGGGAGCTGGATCAGAAGCGGAGCAGCGCACTCCACCCTGTGTGCTGATAGTGGATGCTGGCGTCCCAGGCACATTAGCAGGGAGCTGGATCAGAAGCGGAGCAGCCACACTCCACCCTGTGCGCTGATAGTGGATGCTGGTGTCTCGGGCAGTGGCCCAGCCTGCTGTGCCGCCAGTCCAGGCCTTAGTGATGGGTTGGTTTCTCAGGAGCCTGTGGTGTAGGGGGTGTCTGCAGATGGAGCTGGGAGAGTGCCATGGCTGTGGTCCCGCCTCTGTCTGCCTTAGGCAGACTCTTCCTGAATAAGTTGTCATTTAGTCAACGTGAAGAAGATGAGGGCCTTTGAGTTTTGCAGTTCTGTGAGCTTTGTGCTGGGCAAGCGGAGATGTAGCGGACTTGAATGCACTTGCGCTCTGAGGGGTCAGTTTTGACGTGATTCTGTAGACCAAGATGCTGGGGCTTCTCTCTGCTTGGCTTCCAGATGCAGGCGCCCATGCAAGCCTTGCTCCGTTCCTACCCACTCTGCGATGGGTCTGCGGGCTAAGCTGAAGTCGGGGCTGGCCCAACTCTAAGATCAGGGAAGCCTGTGTAGCCAGTGAAGTGACTTGAAGCAGCACGTGTAGTGTGGTGCCGTTTTCACAAGGGGGGACATGGGCTGGGACCACTGCCAGCTGTCGGTATGGAGTTCCCAAACCCCGCCTTCCCAGTGAGCCAGTGCCCTCGTGGGGGACGCGTGGGGCCCGCAGGTGGCATGTAAGCAGAGGCACCTTGGAGAGCCAGGGAGCGCCGAGAGAGTGCCTTGGCAGCAGGGGCGCCAGGAGTGAGGGAGGTGCATAGGTGGGAGGGGCGGCAGGGAGAGAAGCCTTGCAGGTGGAGAAACCAGACAGGGAGGAGGCAGGGTGTTCCAGTCAGGCCAGTGTGTTCAGTGCCTGCCCGGCCGGGACGGGCTGCTGGACCACGGAGTCCAGGAAGGAAGGCCCCGAGAGGGAGCTGTGCAGGCGGTGTGGCCAGGTTCCTGCCTCAGGTCGGCAGGATTCGAGTCCTCAGAGCCCAGAACGGAGCCTGGCGGAGGAAGCCTCGGGTGAAGTGCCTGTGCAGCAGTGCGGCTCCAGCCCCAACTCCTTGTGACTCGGCCTCCTCGTCTTGAAGGTGGGGAGAGCTGGAGGTGGAGTGAGTTTGTCCAGTTCTCTCAGGACTGCACCGTGTGAGCACGCACAGCTGCACTGCCTCTGCCCGGAATCTGGGCCCAGCGGTGTTGGCAGGGGTGGGGCTGAGGTTAACTTCCTGGGGGAGAGCTGCTCCCCTCCGCACTCAGCGCCCCGACTCCAGCACACAGAAAGGCGGCCTAGGTATGATGGAGGGAGTGGGACGAGCTCCTGGGGATATTTCGCCTTCTGTGACCCCTTTTCCTGCTTTTCCCCACGGGAAGCCCTGTCCCTGACTCCTGTGAGGGGCCTGCAGCCGCCCTCTGTCCCTGTCCCCCACGCCCTACCCCACCCCCCGCCTTCAGCCATGTTGTTTCTCTGTCCTCTTTCCTCCATGCTGGGAGGCAGAAGGGAAGACATTCACCTTCTTTGGCCCTGACTGCAGGCAACTGTGGTGCCTCACAGCCAGGCTGGACCTTGGGGGCCCTGTAGCTGGAGCTGGCTTCTGCAGCCTTGGACGTGTCCCTTCCAGGGCCCAAGTGACCCCAGCAGGACCTTGGGGGCTGTGTGGCTGGAGCTGGCTTCTGCAGCCTTGGGACACGTCCCTTCCAGGGCCCAAGTGACCCCAGCAGGACCTTGGGGGCCATGTGGCTGGAGCTGGCTTCTGCAGCCTCGGACGCGTCCCTTCCAGGGCCCAAGTGACCCGAGCAAGACCTTGGGGGCCGTGTGGCTGGAGCTGGCTTCTGCAGCCTCGGACGCGTCCCTTCCAGGGCCCAGGTGACCCGAGCAGGACCTTGGGGGCCGTGTGGCTGGAGCTGGCTTCTGCAGCCTCGGACGCGTCCCTTCCAGGGCCCGGGTGACCCGAGCAAGACCTTGGGGGCCGTGTGGCTGGAGCTGGCTTCTGCAGCCTCGGACGCGTCCCTTCCAGGGCCCAGGTGACCCGAGCAGGACCTTGGGGGCCGTGTGGCTGGAGCTGGCTTCTGCAGCCTCGGACGCGTCCCTTCCAGGGCCCAGGAGACTGGCAGGTGCAGCTCGCCGGCTGCAGGTTTTCTGCTGCAAGCCGCACAGTTTTCTTTGAGACTGTGGACTTTCCATGTCTTACAGTAGATGTGAGTGTTGTGTCCTCCATGAGTTGTCCCTTTTATTTGAACGTAAATATAAGTCTCCCCCTCTTACCTTTTGCAGAAACTGGTGCACACAGGAAGATAGACTTGTTTTCTTGTCTTCTTGTGTTCCCTTGTGTACCTTTTCCTGGTGAAGGAGTCAAACCACAAGAATTGGGGACCAAAGCCTTTTTGTTGAGTGTCTCATGTACACAAAGGTGCTTCAGAAAGTTCTTGGAAAAAGAATTGAAAGATCAGTGTTTGGGGCAAAACAATTGGAATCCATGCATAGGAGGGCTCTTCTGAAAATTCATAAAAATGCCTATCATGAAGAAAGCTGGCTGGTTGCCATGTTTTCATGACCTTTCTGAAGTACCCTTGTTGTGCCCATGGTGGGGCTTGGCCTGTTGGTCACTGGGTCCCAGCTCCCTTTCCTCAGCGCAACGAGCCTTGCGCATCCTTGGACGGCGCCTGTGATGGTAAGGATCTGTCCTGAACGCTTCCTGTCCCCTGGCATTGGGCACGAGTGCACGTATCCCAGGAGGTTCCAAGCACAGGAGCCAGCGCTGACTGACCGTGGTCTTCCCGTGTCCTGCCTCTGTTCGCACGCCTTCCGCGTATCCTGCGATTGAATTACCAGTACCTTAGAAACAGAGGACCGAGTTTGTGGAGTTCATGCTAACGTTGTTCCTTCTAATTGACAGGTTTCAACACTAAACTTGCACAATGTCTTTGAAACCAAGAGTGGTAGATTTTGATGAAACCTGGAACAAGCTGTTAACGACAATCCGAGCAGTTGTCATGTTGGAGTACGTCGAGAGAGCAACCTGGAACGATCGCTTCTCGTATCCTTTCGAGGCGGCTGTGACGGTTGTGCTGCGACTGTGAACTTGCTGACAAGGAGAGTGGAGGAAGCCCCTAGGAATGACCGCCTTCCAGTGTAACTGTCCAGATGTAGCATTGCTCACGTTCCTTCACCTAAAGCTTTCGTGGTCTTCAGTAGTTGATAACCTCTCATTCAGCACATGCTGATTGAGCACTCCGTCTGTTTTAGGTTTGGGGATACAATTGTGGACAAAGCAAACTCCTTTCTTCCCACAGTAATGAGAGAGGTAGATGATGTACAGACTTCCAGTCTAGTGCCAGTCCCTCACATAAGGTGGCGGTCAGTGTTGTGGGGAAGAACGGAGCAGGTGAGGCTGTGACAGTCTCCGGGGCACGGTGGGCAGCAGGACAGCTCCTGGGATGGTGGCCCTGGAGCAGGGCCAGGGACAGCGGCAGGAGCCAGGTAGATGTCTGGGCAGGAGTGTCGCAGCCGGCGTGCGAGGGAAGCACGTGCTCTTGGGCAGCGTCCACAGTTGTGAGTTGGGAGTTTCATGGCTGGAGCACCCTCAAACCAGTGACCTGTGTTCCTGCATGCCAGCGGCCTGCTGGCTACTGCCCTCAGCAGCGCTCCCATGGGGTCACAGCTGCCTGGTGGTGTCAGGAGTGTCGTGTTCTTGAGAAAAGCCCTGGTGTCTGGCACAGCGAGTCAGCGAGTTCTCAGGGCCTCACTCTGTGAAGATGACGCTGCGTGGTGAGGTTCTCTGGCCCAGGAAAGCATCGAATTCACCTCGGCGGCAGTGGTCCAGGCCGTGTGCCGGCTGCCTGCACTCTGGGCACTGAGGGTGTTGGGGAACAGAAGATGTAGCCTTTCTGGAAGTTTGCCAAGCGGTCCTGCGTTCTCTGTGTTGTTTGGTGCCTCACCCAAACCAGCAGATGGGTAGGGCACATGTGGTCCCCGTCTTTATGGAGCAGAGAGGAGACGCGGGCACGTGGTCATGGGTGCGTAGACTTGAATGCAGGGGTTTGGACACCCAGTTCCCTTTGCTTGCCAGCCCACCTAGAGGATCATTAATAGGAATCCTTCTGTTGAAGAGCTTATTACTGAATCCATCTCTCAAATTAGCAGATTTTTCTGTGAACACGATGGCTGTTTTGGGGCGGGGCAGGATTTTTTTTTTTTAAGATTTATTTATTTATTTGAAAGTTACACAGAGAGAGAAGGAGAGGCAGAGAGAGAAAGGTCTTCCACCTGCTGGTTCACTCCCCAATTGGCTGCAACGGTTGGAGCTGCGCCAATCCGAAGCCAGAAGCCAGGAGCTTCTTCTGGGTCTCCCACATGGGTGCAGGGCCCTAGGACTTGGGCCATCTTCCACTGCTTTCCCAGGCCATAGCAAAGAGCTGGATCAGAAGTGGAGCAGCTGGGACTAAAACCGGCGCCCATATGGGATGCCGGCCCTTCAGGCCAGGGTGTTAACCCGTTGCGCCACAGCACTGGCTCCTCAATATTTTGGAAATAAAGCAATGCTCCGGCAAATTGTACCACTATGTGTATCTTAGTATTTGGACTTTGAGGGTATGCAATGTGATAGTCTGTGGATGGGCTTGGAGGGCACATGTGTGCAGCGGAACAGAGAACAGCCAAGCAGACGCCTGCTGCTCTCCACACAGGTCAGGAATGGGCCGCTGGGAGCGCTCCCCAGCCTGCCCCCTCTCGGGGCCCGAGCCCACTCTCCTGGGAGCCAGCCGCTGCCTCGGGTTTCCGTGGTTCCCTGCGTAGCCCTCAGTGGTGTGGTTCATTCTGTCTTTGAAGCTTTGACCGGTGGAGCTGTGCTGGGTACGTTCTCTGGCTTCACAGCTTCTGTGGGCTGGGCATGTGAGATTCACCCGTTGCAGGGGCTGAGATCAGAACCGTGTTGTGAGTCCCCAGTGAGGGTCTGGGCGCCTGCTGGGGTGCAGGGCTGCACGGGAGCTGCCGCTCTCCTCATAGGCCTGAGCTCACTCTAAGGAGGCTCGCCCTGTGGTGTGAAAACCCTCGTGTGCCAGGCAGAACCTGGACTGTGTATGTGCCTGGCAGATACTTAGTGAGGTGTCGTGAAGCACGGTACAGGTGAGTCGGATGCCTTCATGTGTGCTTGGCTAATATGTCAGTTAATAAGCAGGGCTCTCCACCCCGATTCTTCACGGCCGGCTCCAGGCACGGTGCAAGGCCTCCTGATAGTAGGTGATGTGGAGTGCTGACGGCAGATAGCAGTGCCCCTACTAGCAGGGAGCAGATTAGCACACGTGTAGTGGCTTCAAAAGCATGCTTCGACCGTCTCGTGCTTCTGCAGGCCAGAGCACAGGACGGGACTGACCCCTCCGCTGGGGTCTCTCAGGCACACGGCGGGGAGGGGCTGGTACTGCTCTCTGTTAGAACTTGGGGTCTCTCAGGCACACGTCGGGGAGGGGGCTGGTACTGCTCTCTGTTAGAACTTGGGGTCTCTGAGGCACACGGCGGGGAGGGGCTGGTACTGCTCTCTGTTAGAACTTGGGGTCTCTCAGGCACACGGCGGGGAGGGGCTGGTACTGCTCTCTATTAGAACTTGGGGTCTAAGGCACACGTCGGGGAGGGGCTGGTACTGCTCTCTGTTAGAACTTGGGGTCTCTGAGGCACACGGCGGGGAGGGGCTGGTACTGCTCTCTGTTAGAACTTGGGGTCTCTGAGGCACACGGCGGGGAGGGGCTGGTACTGTTCTCTGTTAGAACTTGGGGTCTCAGGCACACGGCGGGGAGGGGGCTGGTACTGCTCTCTGTTAGAACTTGGGGTCTCTCAGGCACACGGCGGGGAGGGGCTGGTACTGCTCTCTGTTAGAACTTGGGGTCTCTCAGGCACACGGCGGGGAGGGGGCTGGTACTGCTCTCTGTTAGAACTTGGGGTCTCAGGCACACGGCGGGGAGGGGCTGGTACTGTTCTCTATTAGAACTTGGGGTCTCTCAGGCACACGGCGGGGAGGGGCTGGTACTGTTCTCTGTTAGAACTTGGGGTCTCAGGCACACGGCGGGGAGGGGCTGGTACTGCTCTCTGTTAGAACTTGGGGTCTCTGAGGCACACGGCGGGGAGGGGCTGGTACTGCTCTCTGTTAGAACTTGGGGTCTCTCAGGCACACGTCGGGGAGGGGGCTGGTACTGCTCTCTGTTAGAACTTGGGGTCTCTGAGGCACACGGCGGGGAGGGGCTGGTACTGCTCTCTGTTAGAACTTGGGGTCTCTCAGGCACACGGCGGGGAGGGGCTGGTACTGCTCTCTATTAGAACTTGGGGTCTAAGGCACACGTCGGGGAGGGGCTGGTACTGCTCTCTGTTAGAACTTGGGGTCTCTGAGGCACACGGCGGGGAGGGGCTGGTACTGCTCTCTGTTAGAACTTGGGGTCTCTGAGGCACACGGCGGGGAGGGGCTGGTACTGTTCTCTGTTAGAACTTGGGGTCTCAGGCACACGGCGGGGAGGGGGCTGGTACTGCTCTCTGTTAGAACTTGGGGTCTCTCAGGCACACGGCGGGGAGGGGCTGGTACTGCTCTCTGTTAGAACTTGGGGTCTCTCAGGCACACGGGCGGGGAGGGGGCTGGTACTGCTCTCTGTTAGAACTTGGGGTCTCAGGCACACGGCGGGGAGGGGCTGGTACTGTTCTCTATTAGAACTTGGGGTCTCTCAGGCACACGGCGGGGAGGGGCTGGTACTGTTCTCTGTTAGAACTTGGGGTCTCAGGCACACGGCGGGGAGGGGCTGGTACTGCTCTCTGTTAGAACTTGGGGTCTCTGAGGCACACGGCGGGGAGGGGCTGGTACTGCTCTCTGTTAGAACTTGGGGTCTCTCAGGCACACGGCGGGGAGGGGCTGGTACTGCTCTCTGTTAGAACTTGGGGTCTCTGAGGCACACATCGGGGAGGGGCTGGTACTGCTCTCTGTTAGAACTTGGGGTCTCTCAGGCACACGGCGGGGAGGGGCTGGTACTGTTCTCTATAGAACTTGGGGTGTCTCAGGCACACGGCGGGGAGGGGCTGGTACTGCTCTCTATTAGAACTTGGGGTCTCTCAGGCACACGGCGGGGAGGGGCTGGTACTGTTCTCTATTAGAACTTGGGGTGTCTCAGGCACACGGCGGGGAGGGGCTGGTACTGCTCTCTATTAGAACTTGGGGTCTCTCAGGCACACAGCGGGGAGGGGCTGGTACTGCTCTCTGTTAGAACTTGGGGTCTCTCAGGCACACGTCGGGGAGGGGCTGGTACTGTTCTCTGTTAGAACTTGGGGTCTCTCAGGCACACGGCGGGGAGGGGCTGGTACTGTTCTCTGTTAGAACTTGGGGTCTCAGACACACGGCGGGGAGGGGCTGGTACTGTTCTCTGTTAGAACTTGGGGTCTCTGAGGCACATGGCGGGGAGGGGCTGGTACTGTTCTCTGTTAGAACTTGGGGTCTCTCAGACACACGGCGGGGAGGGGCTGGTACTGTTCTCTATTAGAACTTGGGGTCTCTCAGGCACACGGCGGGGAGGGGGCTGGTACTGCTCTCTATTAGAACTTGGGGTCTCTCAGGCACACGGCGGGGAGGGGGCTGGTACTGTTCTCTATTAGAACTTGGGGTGTCTCAGGCACACGGCGGGGAGGGGCTGGTACTGCTCTCTGTTAGAACTTGGGGTCTCAGGCACACGGCGGGGAGGGGCTGGTACTGTTCTCTATTAGAACTTGGGGTGTCTCAGGCACACGGCGGGGAGGGGCTGGTACTGCTCTCTGTTAGAACTTGGGGTCTCAGGCACACGGCGGGGAGGGGCTGGTACTGCTCTCTGTTAGAACTTGGGGTCTCTCAGGCACACGGCGGGGAGGGGGTGGCCACTCTACTCAGAGCTGTGTAGGTGCAGAGTGGCTGCTCTGGGAGGCCTCAGGCTGTGCAGGTTGGAGAAGGTTCTGCAGTCTCTGGATTCCCGACTCAGCGCGTGTCAGGCTCGTGGGTGCTCGGGTCGACACCGATGCTCTCACTCGCACTTGAGGGTTTCTCAGTTACTCGGCCACTGTATCCGTGTTTACTAACTGGTGACTTTGTAGACACTGCATTTTCCACGTGTTGCATTTTCATTTTTTCCCTTTGGAAATGTCAGCAAATCTATTAAATTGATTTTTATAGTCAAAGCCTGATTTGATTACTCTGATAATTTTCAATGTTGAGATGATGTTTTATTCCCATTGTGAAACCCTCCCGACTCTGGACCCACGATGGAGTGGGAGTCATGCTGTTGGACTCAGAACTGAGCTGTGGTTTAGGAAGTGCCTTTTAGTAGAGAACTTAGAGTAAAATAAATGACTTTGCTGCTGGCCAATGTTATCTTTTGGTATCACCAAAATTATCTTTTTTTTTTTTGACAGGCAGAGTTAGAGAGAGAGACAGAGAGAAAGGTCTTCCTTTTTCTGTTGGTTCACCCCCTATATGGCCGCTACAGCCGGCGCACTGCGCCGATCCAGGAGCCAGGTGCTTCTCCTGGTCTCCCATGGGGTGCAGGGCCCAAGGACTTGGGCCATCCTCCACTGCCTTCCTGGGCCACAGCAGAGAGCTGGACTGGAAGAGGAGCGGAGCGACTGGGACAGAATCCGGCGCCCTGACCGGGACTAGAACCCGGGGTACCAGCTCCGCAGGCGGAGGATTAGCCAAGTGAGCCGCGGCGCCGGCCTAAAATTATCTTTTAAGTACTTGAGAAATGACACATTGATGAACTGGGGCCCAGAAACTGTGATAAGTTGAACGTGAACCTGAAGGACTTGGGGTGGAATGTGGATTCTTCTTGTCTGGAGAGCCGGGTGGTGCAGAAGTGAACGTGCACACCTGCGTCCCTCCCGCACCCTGACCCTCATTCCTCAGGTGGAGAAGGCGAGCCCTGAGGTGCGACTCCTGGTAGATTGGATTCACATCTGTGAGATCTGAGTTGTGACAGTGTCATACGTGTGGCCATACAACTAGCCTGCTGAGCTAAAATGTGGCACTGAGTCGTTTTACTTCGTCGGTACCGTGGACGTTGCATATTCTAGAAAGTGTGTGTACAGTGCAGGGAGAAGGCATCGTGTTGGCTGAAAGTTCTGGGAGTGGGTGTTCAGTGACGCCACCCTGGTTGAGGAGAGTTGGTGTGGATCTGGCTGGGTTCAGTGTTTCCCAGTTGTAGTGTGAGTGTAACGTCCTCCGTTTGACACACGCCTGCACACGTGCGACTCTGTGAGCAGCCCCGTCCCTCCAGTATCTGGAGCTCTGCTTCCCAGAAGCACCCTTACTCTCTGCAGCCTAAACCCTTCTGTGCCCGACTTCACCAGGCTAGATTGATGAGCAGCTGAGTGTCTGGCCGAACAGAGCAGAAACGTGGAGATGTAAGTTATGTAGTGGGGCAGCTGTTTGCCCTTGAGATGAAAACATCCCACACTGGAGTTGTCTGGGTTTGATACCCAGTTCCAGCTTCCTACTAGCGCAGACCCTCGAGGGCAGTGGTGGTGCTCAAGTCTTTGGTTCCCTGCAGCCCACCTAGGAGATGTGGATGAAACTCCCAGCTCTTGACTTCCACCTGACCCGGTCTCAGCCAGTGTGGACACTGGAGGAGTGAATCAGTGGGTGGGACCTCTGACTCATAAATAAATAAATAAATAGTTTACGATGCTTTCAAGATTAGGACTTTTTTTTTTTTTTTTTTTTTTTTTGAATCTGTAACTGAAAGTTAGAGGGGCTCCAGGCTGTCTTCAGGAGCTGGAGGAGCACGTGGATTTGAAGCCCCTCCTCTCCCTGTGTCACACCAGGCTCAGCTTCTCTAGAGTTGATTTCCTGAGACGTGTTACATTCTTTCTTAGGATACATGCAAGTTGTTGCTTTCTTTGTAATATAGATTAGCCTTTAGATGAAGGATGTTACTGCTGGTGAACAGTTCTTACATCTTGTTCTCCGATAATTCGTGTTCATTATTGTTACTTAGATGGGTTAAAAATAATTTTTAATAGTTTGTTTCTTATTGAACATTTTTTCTACAAAAAAATCAGGCATGGTGGTATTATACTACATGGATGATATTTTTACATTTTTTAATTTAATTTTACTTCATTTGAAAGAGAGCAGAGAGAGAGCTCCCCTCCACTGGTTCACTCCCCAAATGTCCATAAGAGCCAGGGCTGGGCAAAGCCAAAGCCAGGAGCCTGGAGCCGCACCTGAGTGTCCTATCTGGGTGTCAGGGACTGACCCAACTACTTGAACCATCACTGTTGTCTCTCAGGGTCTGCATTGTAGGAAGCTGTGGTCAGCAGTAAGCCAGGACTCAAACTTGGGGCTCTGATAGGGAATGCAGGTATTGAAGTGTTAACCACTGTGCCAAATGCCTGCCGCGTAAAGAATTCCTGGTTTAATGCAGCAGTATATTTAGGAAGTACACATATGCATACGTGTATGAGCTGCTAATTGTAATGTAAAATACATCAGAGAAGGATTTCGACAGGCGCTGGGGAAGTTTGACGAAGTCCACTGGGCAGTGGCGTTGGTGGGAAGGGTGCTGCTCACGTGGGCAGAGCGCTTCTCTCCTGCTCGTCAGGGCCCAGACCTGGGCCTGGGAGCTAGCTGTGGACTGGGGCGATGGCAGGGTAGGGACAGTTTCTGCAGAAGGTGTAAGGAGCCTGTATCCCCAGCCTAATGTGTTTGTAAGCACAAGTCCGGCCTTTGTGTTAAGTGCCAGCACTTGAATCCATCCTGCCTCGTTGGGCTGGTGACGTGCGTAGTGTGGGCCGACTGCTGTCTCCGGGGTCTGTGTGCAGCTGTCATGGGGGAGACCCGTGGTGAAGGCGACCCTCTGGTGAGAAGCCGCCGCTGTGCCACTGCTGTGGGGACGCACGTGCTGTTGCCTGCAGAGCACTTGGTGGTAGGCAGGGCAGCCCAGCCAGCACACACTCTCCCGAATTCTGACCAGGTGCTGGGTCTGGTCCCCACATCATAAACTGGCTTGGCCCCAGGTCTCTCTCTGTCCTGCTCACAAGTTAGCCCTTGAAGGTGTTGAGAGGAGTCATTAAAACAAGGACTCTTGAAAAGGGAACCGAGAGGCCGAGTGAGGCGGCGACTCCTGGGCCGGTAAAACCCCTGCCAGCTGGGTTCTGGTTTGCACAGTGACGCCGCCACTGCTGTTGGTGCTTATTGCTCCTGACAGCACAGGTGCTGGGGGTGCTGGTATACGAGGGCCGGCCCCAGTCCTGCGACGTAGGGGAGCCAGCTGCCCGGGTGTGACCGCCTCTGCCCGTGTCCTTATTGGTCGTCTCTGCCTCTCCTCACAAAGCCTTACTTTGTAGGGTCCCGGCCACTCATTTCCATTTAGACCCCGTCTGATCCTAACCTCGCAGAGAAGAGCCATCGTCCTCACAGTGCCTTCCAGTAACCCAGCGACAAGGTGAACGGATACCAGCGGTGCTTCCTAGCGTGGTTATCTGCATCTGTCCTGTAAAAGCATTATAACATGCATATTACGATAATACTGTTGTGCTACTATGATATTGCTATGATAAGCCTAACCCGTAAGAAATGAAATGACTTTCAATTTTTAGTGCCAAGCTTGAGTTGCATGTCATTATGTTTTGAAACTGTGTCTCCAATGAAGATGAAAACCTTAATAATTTAACTAGAGATATCTATGCTTTATGTGTGGCCTATCCTGAACCCCTTGGAGAAAGACTATATACGGAAACTAAGGTTTTTTTGGAAAATCATGTTCGGCATTTGCACAAGGTAAGGTGTGAAGTACATGTGGTGTCAATGTGACTGTGTTGTTGTTTGACTGGTTCACTGATTCCCGGGCCAGAACGTAGACCGAGTTCAGGCTCTTGGTTTTGTTTCTTCAGTGCACTTTCTAATAAATGTATCTGAGGTCTAGGAGGCAAGCACTGTGTTACAAGGTTCTCTGAGGGAGCACAGTTTACTTTCTCGAGGTCACGCAACCGATAATGAAAGAGCAGAGTCAACCCGGCTGTGCCTTGCCTCTGGGTGGTGTCTGCAGCCAAGGCTGCCCTCCCTCTAGAGTCCGCCTCTCAGTAAATCTCTCTGTCATGTTGTGTCCTCATATCCTTGTAAAATCTCCCCAGACCCCTGCGTTGAGAAGGGAAGTGACAGACAGCATGCTAGGGCGGTCTCTGAGCAGTGACGGACTGCCCTGTCAGGGGCAGCATCACGGACCTGACACGTACGCAGACATGAACTCTGCAGCAGACAGGAGCTGGGTGCCCTACCTCACTGCATGCCTGGAGTCTTCACTCCACCTTCTGTTTGCTGTTGCAGCTTTGAGTTCATCCGTAAACTGGAGTAAAACAGCACACTCTATCAAGTGTGTAACCCTGCACATGGCCAGGAATAAACACTGTTAAACAACACAGAGCATCAGTAGGCTGTAGGGTGACGTGACATTTCCCTTAAGGGGCCCACGTTGTGGAGCAGCAAGTTAAGCCTCCACTTGCCCATATCTGAGAGCATGTTCGAGTCCTGGCCGCTCTGCTTCCGACCCAGCTCCCTGCTCATGTGCCTGGGGAGGCAGTGGAAGACGGCCCAGGTGCTTGGGACCCTGCACCCACGTGGGAGACCTGGATGGGGTTCTGGGCTCTTGGTTTTGGCCTGGTCCAGACCTGGCTATTGTGGCCTTTTGGGGAGTGAACTAGCAGGTGGAAGATGCTTTCTCTCTCCCCCTCTCCCTCCCCCTCCCCCTCCCCCTCCCCCTCCCCCTCCCCCTCCCCCTCCCCCTCTCCCTCCTCCTCTCCCCCTCTCCCCCTCTCCCCCCTCCCCCTCTCCCGCTCTCCCCGCTCTCCCTCTCCCCCTCTCCCCCTCTCCCTCTCCCTCTCCTTCTCTCTCTCTGTCTCTCTCTCCTCCCGCCTTTTGTGCCCCCCGTCACTCTGCCTTTCAAATAAGTAAGTAAATAAATATTGCAAAAAAGCATTTAAAGGAAATGTGTGTATTTGTTGTATATCATGTGTACATTTTAGTGTTCTAGATTGTGCATTTATCAGCTCATAAAAGCAGTTTTGATAGTGGATACTTTCAAATGGTCTTAAAATGTTTAAGTTAGTTTTAAAGTTCTGTAATAAACTAGTAAGCTTTGGGTAACTATATAAGACATTTATATATTTTGTAGTTTTTTATTTTAGTTGATTTTCTTTTTAAGATTTATTTATATTTGAAAGGCAGAGAAAAAGAGCAAGGCAGAGATCTTCTATCCTCTGGTTCATTCCATAAATGGTTGCAGCAGCCAGGGCTGGGCCAGACTGAAGCCAGGAGCCAGGAGCTCCATCCAGATCTCCCGCGTGGGTGGCAGTGCCCGGGTATGTTTGCCGTCACTGCTGCCTCCCAGTTGCATTAGCAAGAAGCTGGACTGGCAGTGCGGAATAGCAAGGACTATCTGATATGGCACATGGGTGTCCCAAGCTGAGCCACAGTGGCCACCCCAGTGTAACTTGTATAGAACTTTTTATCTCAAAAAAGTTTAGACTTACAGCAAAGTTGCAAAAATAGTATAGAGTTCTCCTGTACTTTTCACCTTGTTAACATCTTGCATAACAGGGGTACAGTTGTTGAAACTAAGAATTTAACACTGGTGTGATCATGTGGTTTAAAAATGATATTGTGAGCGGTTTACGAGAGCTTAAACGCTTCAATAATTGTATACGATATCTTTTCTGAGATCCTGTGACAAAACAAAGGGAGTGGTTGACTTATGTAGGATAAAGTAAATTGTTACGTAGCCAACAGAACTGAAGCAGTGTCACCTATGAGAGAAAAATTGATTCGATTGGGAGAAAGTTTGCTTTTAACCACTAAAGTATTGTATTACCATTTTATGTAATTTAGAGCATATAGGTTAGGAAAAAAATAAACATCACCTATAACATAACTCCAGAATTAATCACTGTATTTTTACATCATTTAAATGTATCTACGTTAGTACACATTAATGTATGTTTAACTTAATATATGTCTTTTGCATAGTTTTGCTTTGTATAGCCTTCATGTTTTTTCATTCTGAGAGACAGAGAAGGAGAGCTCCCGTCCTCTGGCTCACTCCTCAGATCACCTGCGATGGCTGGGCTGAGCCAGGCTGAGCCAGGAGCCAGGAACTCCATCCGCTCTCCTGTGGGAGGGCAGGGCCCCAGCTCCTCGAGCCAGCGCTGTGGCCTCCCAGGACGCACATGAGCAGGAAGCAGGGACTGGGAGCTGAGCCAGGACTCAACCCAGACTCTGATACAGGGTACAGATTCCTTATCAGCTTAGCCGCCAGGCCAGGCCAGCACCTCTCTCCCCTCCCACACTCTGCTTTGTGATGGAAAATGAAATCACAGTATTCACTTTGGAAGTCTGCTTTTTAAAAAATTTTTAAAAATATTTTATTTATTTGAAAAACAGAGTTACAGAGGGAGGTAGAGACAGAGAGACAGGTCTTCCATCTGCTGATTCGCTCCCCAGATGGCTGCAACAGCTGGAGCTGTGCTGATCCAAAGCCAGGAGCAAGGAGCTTCTTCCGGGTCTCCCACACGGGTTCAGGGGCCCGAGGACTTGGGCCATCTTCCACGGCTTTCCCAGGCCACAGCAGAGAGCTGGATCGGAAGAGGAGCAGCCGGGACTAGAACCGGCGCCCATATGGGATGCTGGCGCTTTAGGCCAGGGCTTTAACCCGCTGCACCACAGCACCAGCCCCTGCTTTTTATTTTTAGTGACGTTGTAAACTGCTTCCTTCATTACCAAACAGACTTTTGTGAGTTCTCCTGTGGGAGGTGCTGTCATCTCAGGCACGCCTTTGCTGCCGGGCACGCAGACTGCTTGATTTGTGTGATTTGTTTCTGTGAACACCTGCTGGGTAACCACATTTCTTAGAGCATAAATGCCTCAATGAGGCATTCCTGGATCGCATGCTTCTTGAATCATTTTTGATTTTATATATATATGTAATTTAAAGATCTGTTTGTTTATTTGAAAGAGTAGAAAGGAGAAGACAGATCTTCCATCTGCTGGTTCACTCTCCAAATGGCTGCAACAGCTGGGGTCTGAGCCAAGCCTAAGGCAGGAGCCAGGAGCTTCCTCCAGGTCTCCCATGTAGGTGCAGGGGCCCAGGCACTTGGGCCATCTTCTACTGCTTTCCCGGATGCATTAGCAGGGAGATGGATGGGAAGTGGAGCAGCCGGGACACAGGGGAGAGCCCATATGGGATGCCAGCACTGCAGGCAGACGCTTAAGCCACTGTGCCACAGCCCAGCCCCTGGTTTTGATGATATGTTAGCAGGTTGTTCTCTGGGCTCGTTATCTAATGTAGCCAGAGAACGTCGCCTTCTTCCCCAGCCTGGTGAGAGTGACTGCTCTTTCTAGTGTATTTACTAACCCGATAGGCAGAAGTTGCTACTTACAAGTTCTTTCTCTCATCCTAGGCCTTAGTTGTTAAAATTCTAAATTTAAAAGCATAACGCTGTATCAGAGATTTAGATAAAAGTTGAGGTCATGACTTGTTTCAGGTCATGTGGACAGCTAATAAAAGAATTATGATAAGAGAACCCCCATATCAGCGTATTTTTGTTGTGAGACCAGATTTCTAGATTTCCTTTAGAAAATGAATTCTCCAGAAGTATACCTGGGGAACGGGAGTTGTTTGGCCCAGTGGCTGAAACTCTGGCTAGGATGCCCCGCCCACCTTGGAGTCCTGAGTGTGAGTTTAGCTCCTGTCCATGCGGACTCTGGGAGGCAGCTGTGACTGCCGACAGCCGTGAGGAGACCGGGTTGAGTTCCCAGCTCTGTTGCAGGCATTTGGCGAGTGAGGCGGTGTGTGGGAGCTCCCTCTCTTTCTCTCTGCCTCTGAGATTTGCTTGACTCTCCTGTTTAGAAAGTAATAACTTTGTATGAAGTAAATACGAAACAGCTTATTCTGATCACGTAGAAGGGTCAGTTCTGTAAAGAGTCTGTTTACAGAAGTGAGTGAGTGGAAGTGACAGATGCGCCTGGCAGGCTGGCTGGAGTCACACATCTGAGGAAGCGCCCAGAGGGAAGACATGTGCTTGTGTTCTAGCCCAGAGCACCGTCAGACCATCACCTTTTGTCCTTCTGCCTTGGGAAACAAAACAATTTATTCTCTGTTGTGGGTGCTTGCTTTCGTATCTAAGGCTCACATGTATTCCCCAGGCGCTTCATGCTTCCTAAAAGTCATGGAAACGCGACCTGTAATGTAATTTATGATGCTTGTGTTATGCAAGTTATTTTGGAACATTGTTTCTGATGATTGCGTAGTTTGCAGTGAAAATGACCAGTGCTTTCTGAATAAAAGTGTTTTCTCTTCATATAGAGAGTTCTGGAGTCTGAGGAGCAAGTGCTTGTAATGTATCATAGGTATTGGGAAGAGTACAGCAAGGGCGCAGACTATATGGACTGCCTGTACAGGTCAGTGTGCTTTCCCTGCCGACTCCCCGGGTGCCCGCACTCGGGAACCGTCCCCTTGCGATGCTGTCACTCGGGCTCTCTGCCCCGCGGCTTGGGTGGGTAGCTGGGAGCCCGGCGGGGTGTGGTATGGACCGGATCTCCGGGGATGGCTGCTGCTCACACATTCCGGACCCTAAGCACGTGGTAAGCCTCAGAGGGGAGATCCGCTGGGTGAACCCGCAGTGGAGGGAACGCGAGCCCGGGCCCCACGGCTCCCGCCGTCAGACTGTGTTTCCTGGACGTGCTGCGGAGTCCTTGTCGGTTTCCCTCACCGCGGCCCACGGTGCTGCTCCTGCTGTGGCACCATCTGGTTGCTTTCCTTCCTTTCTCAAGATGGCTGCTTCCAGCACGTTCTTCCCACGGTCTCTTTGCCAAGCCTGCCTTCCTGGCCGTTCCCGCACTGTGTTCCTGGGGTATTCTGTGCTGATCTTCTCCAACACATTCATGCAGACGTCCACGCCAGCCCCAGGGATCCATTCGGAGACGTGGCCTTGGGCGACTTAGTCGGCATGATGGTGTGATTGTCCTAGGACAATACTCACAGCACGTGTGTCTGACAGCATCATGCTGTTGTCTGTGGGATCCATTGTTGACCGCAGGGCTGTGCTTAGCGTAATTGATGAATGGTGGCCAGATCAGGAATTGGGGAGTTAAGTACACCCTTCAGCAGGGTGTCCTGTCCTGAAGTGGTGGTGGACTGTGGCCTGTGGTGCATGCACTGTGACTTGGTTCTCACTGTGGAGGTGCTAAGGAGCTGAGCTGTTCTCAGAGGTACCTGCAGCCACGTCATGTGTGGCAGGAGTGTAGGCTCTGCCCCGTGTGTTGTCCTGGGCCGGCTGGGTCATCAGCTGGCATGTGTGTCACAGAGTGACACTTAACTTCCGTTCTGGCCTGTGTCAGGAGCTGGGGCTCATTTCCCAAAGGCCCAGGGGAGCAACACGGAATGCAGTGAGGACCTAGGTACTGGGAAGCCCGGGTGTGCTGTGGCTTTAAAAGGCATCACAAGTCAGTGTTGCAGTACTGAGCCATCTCGACTTGGACTTTTCTCCTTAGCTGCCAGCATGTGATGATGGTAGAGAGAGCTTTCAGATTCCCTGAGGCAGATTGTGGGGGAGAGCGTGCTGCCCCACCATTGTATTTGTGGGGGAAGGGGCCTTGGATACAGACACCTGGAGGACGATGACCTGCACGCCTCGCGGTGGGTCCCTCCTTGGCGGACACCCGTGCTTCCTGGTTTTCCCTTCGTCCTCCTGCCTTCCTGGGCACCAGTGTCCCGAGTACTGCTTGGACGAGCTCTCAGTCAGTGTTGGCCATGCTCATGCCTACGATCTTCACAACACTGAGTGTGTCTGACAGTGTTTCAGTACAACCCGTATGTGTGGCAGTGTTGTAGTACTCACAACACATGTGTCTGGCAGCATCACAATACTCACAACACGTGTGGGACAGTGTCGCAATACTCACAACACGTGTGTCTGATAGTCACAGTACTCACAACATGTGTGGGACAGTGTCACAATACTCATGACACGTGTGTCTTACAGTGTCGCAGTATTCACAACACGTGTGTGATAGTCACAGTACTGACGTGTGGGACAATGTCACAATACTCACATGTGACAGTGTCGCAATACTCAACACGTGTGTGCAACAGTGTTGCAATACTCATAACACGTGTGTCTGATAGTGTCAGTACTCAACACATGTGTCTGACTGTTGCAATACTCATGTGTCTGACAGTGTTGCAGTACTCACAACATGTGTGTCTGACAGTGTCACAATACTCATAACATGTGTGACAGTGTTGTAGTACTCAGAACACTTGTGTGTGTGACCATGTTGCAATACTCACAACACGTGTGTCTGACAGCGTTGCAATACTCAGGTGTCTGACAGTGTTGCAGTACTCACAACATGAGTGTCTGACAGTGTCACAATACTCATAACATGTGTGACAGTGTTGTACTCAGAACACTTGTGTGTGTGACTGTTGTAATACAACACGTGTGTTTGATAGTGTCAATAATCACAACATGTGTGTCTGACAGTGTTGGCAATACTCAGAACACATCTGTCTGATAGTGTCGCAATCTCAGAACACATGTGTCTGACAGTCAGCATCACCGTACTCACAGCACGTGTGTCTGACAGTCAGCATCACCGTACAGCACGAGTGTCTGACAGCATCACAGTACTCAGCACGTGTGTCTGACGTCCGCGTCACCATATTCCAGCACGTGTGTCTGCCAGCGTCACCATACTCACAGCACGTGTGTCTGACAGCATCACAGTACTCACAGCATGTGTGTCTGACGGTCAGCGTCACCATCCTCACAGCACGTGTGTCTGACGGTCAGCGTCACCATCCTCACAGCACGTGTGTCTGACGGTCAGCATCACCATACAGCACGTGTGCAGGTGTTGGAAACCGTATGCTTGATGTTTCCGTGTTTGCTGCTGAGGAGTCCAAGGCGCAGAGCAGGCAGTGACTTGGCTCAAGAAGGCGCAGCCTGTGCGTGAAGACCGCTTCTGCCGAATGTCTCTTCTCAAGCTCCCACGTGACCTCTGAAATCGTCTGGTGCCCCAGGGGCTGGGTGCAGGGAACGGAGTGCTCGGCTTGGCGCCTGTGGTGTTGGTGTTGTGTGACTGATGGCTGGTGATTTAACTGCTGGGTAGAATGGGCGGTGCGCCCTCTCCCAGGAGGACGAGGTTGACATCGATTGGGTGACAGCTGTGTGGGGAGCCAGGTCACCCCGGCCGCCCCGTGTGTCTACCCATGAGGGTGTAGTGAAAGGCAGGAGGCACAGACCAGTTTTGTTTCTAAGGGTTTTTACAAAGTGCTTCTTGCCTCTTCTTGACTCTGGTCAACTTAGGAGATGGCTGTTCATTAGTCTGGGTGATTCAGGTGACCCTCCTGCTGGCCTGTCCAGTTGCCCTCCCTGTCTTTTTAGAGCCCGTGGGGCCGAGAAGTACTTACGGTATTATCTTGAGAACAGCTTGTGAAACGCAGTACATGGTAGCTGAGAATAATCCTTGTCAGATTTCCTGGTTAGACTTAAGTGTCTGACTTCTCAAGAGGCTTTAGAGTTACCTTAGGTTATTAGTTGTCAATTACTATGCTTTTTTTAAAGATTTATTTATTGATTTGAAAGTCAGTTACACAGAGAGAGGAGAGGCAGAGAGAGAGAGAGGTCTTCCATCTGCTGGTTCACTCCCCAATTGGCTGCAATGGCCAGAGCTGCGCCGATCCGAAGCCAGGAGCCAGGAGCTTCTTCTGGATCTCCCACACGGGTGCAGGGTCCCAAGGACTTGGGCCATCTTCTACTGCTTTCCCAGGTTCCTTAGCAGGGAGCTGGATTGGAAGTGGAGCAGCTGGGTCTCAAACCAGCACCCATATGGGATGCCGGTGCTTCAGGCCAGGGTATTAACCCGCTGAACCATAGCACCGGCCCCTACTATGTTTTTTAAAAATATATTTATTTATTTGAAAGAGGGAGTTTTCCCATCCATTGGTTCACCCCTGGAGTTGGGCCAGGCCACAATCAGGGTTTAATGGGTGGCAGGAACTCAAGTGTGTAAGCCAGCATGTGCTGCCACCCAGGTGTGGTGATTCCAACAGGAAGCTGGAATCGAGAGCAAGCTGCAATTCAAACCCCAGGTGTACTAACAGGTATAATTTTTATTTTTTAAGATTTATTTTATTTATTTATTTGAAAGAGTTACACAGACAGAGAAGGAAGGAGAGGCAGAGGGAGAGAAAGAGGTCTTCTATTTGCTTGTTCACTCCCTAGTTGGCCACAACAGCTGGAGCTGTGCTGATCCGAAGCCAGGAGCCAGGAGCTTCTTCCAGGTCTCCCGTGTGGGTGCAGGGGCCCAAGGACTCAGACCATCTTCTACTGCTTTCCCTGGCCGTAGCAGAGAGCTGGATCGGAAGTGGAGCAACCAGTACTTGAACCGGCGCCCATACGGGATGCCGACACTGGAGGCGGCAGCTTTTACCTGCAACGCCACAGCGCCGGCCCCTTAACTGATCTTCACTGCTAGGACTAATGCGTACCACATTGAGCATTATCATTGCAGAACTGTTAATACTGCAGAAAAGCAAAGTGTACTTGTTAACAAGGTGGCTGGCAGAACGTTAGAAGAATGTGTGCCACTGTACCGTACCTGAGTAGAACAGTCAGGCATTATGTCCTCTGGTAGAGTGTAAACTTTTTAAAAGGTATTGGGAGCTTTTTTTTTTTTTTTAAATTATTTCCTATATCATGTATCTATCTTCAGTTATTTAAATTTTTAAAGATTTTGTTTATTTGCAAGACAGAATGACAGAGAGGGGGTGAGAGAGAGAGAGATCTCCTGTCTGCTGGTGCACTCCCGAAAGGGCCCTCACAGCCGTAACTGGACCAGGAACCGGAAACTCCCTCTGGGTCTCCGTCCTGGGTGGGGCCATCTGCTGCTGCTTTCCCAGGCGCATTCGCAGGGAGCTGCTGTGGAAGTGGAGCAGCTGGGACTTGAACCAGTGCTCTCACGTGGGGTGCCAGAGTTGCAGGTGCTACCTGCTGCCTCCATGTAGCTTTAAACAGAAACAAATACGTGGTTAGTACGTTTGATTGTAAAATACTACACTACTTGAAAAATAAATTAGGAATGATATCCCTACCAAAATAAGAAATATTGTGTCAACATTTTGCATTGTGACTTTATTCTAAAAGCTTACCAGAAACAGAGTCTGAAATGAGAAAGATATAGCTGATGTAAGCTAAAGCTTTGTCCCGTGAGGAAGGCGCACCTTTCCCTGCCGGCTCTGCGACAGTCAGAGCTGTAGAAACAGAGTGCTGGCTCAGTGCACATCCCAGGTCTCTGCCGTGGAGAAGTGCGCACAGAGCCAGTCTGGAGTCACTTCCTGTTGCAGTGTAGGAGCTGCTGTCGAGGCCGGCGCCGCGGCTCACTAGGCTGGCACACCGGGTTTTAGTCCCGGTCGGGGCGCCGGATTCTGTCCTGGTTGCCCCTCTTCCAGGCCAGCTCTGTGCTGTGGCCTGGGAGTGCAGTGGAGGATGGCCCAAGTGCTTGGGCCCTGCACCCCATGGGAGACCAGGAGAAGCACCTGGCCCCTGCCTTCGGATCAGTGCGGTGCGCCGGCCACAGCGCGCCAGCCGAGTTGGCCATTGGAGGGTGAACCAACGGCAAAGGAAGACCTTTCTCTCTGTCTTTCTCTCTCACTGTCCACTCTGCCTGTCAAAAAAAAAAAAAAAAAAAAAAAAAAAAAAAAAGCTGCTGTCGAATTCTGAACAGCGAAGACAGAAGCTCTAGGAAACTAGAGATGCCAGAGATTGCAATTAGCGGCCCACCGTGGGAGCGGGGCACGTGGAAGGAGGTGACAGAGGTGTGATGAGTGGTGTTAGGAAGGCGGAAGGGCAGGCTGTGTGAATCTGAGCTTTCAGGCGTGCTTCTTGGGACGGCCAGGCCGCCACTCACCTGGGGAAGTGGCCTGGAGCAAGGCTCGTGTGGGAGAGCACGCGTCCCTGCCGCGGGCAGCACGTGCTACTCCCTGCCCTGAGAGAGCGTGCAGCCTTGGGAGGCCCTGGTGTGTCTGGGTCCTCCCAGAAGTGGAGCATGCTGAGTGGGCAGAGGCCGTGGTTCAGGTTTTCATCTCTGTTCCCAGTGCCTGGGTAGGCCTTGTCCTCCCCCGGCACGGCCAGTCCTGCACGGCAGGAGTCAGGGAGATCGGAGTTCCTGTGCTAGCACTGCCGCCTGCCGGCAGAGTGCCTGGCGACGAGCTGTGAACCTCTGCGAGCCGCAGCTTCCTGGTGTGTGAAGCGAAGGTCCTAGCCGACCACACGGGCCTGTCTCGCAGGGCCCGACCAGGTGACGTGCATGGCGCTGTCTGAGCCATGTTCTCATACCAGCTTTTGCCGTGCCTGCTGTCTGGAGTGTGTTCATTGAACAGGTGGTTTTTAAGGACTTGGTGCTTACCTACCCCTGTTCTTAACGCTGTCTACGAAGTCCTGCCCTGTAGACCTTAAGTTCTCCAGCGGAGACGGTCCTACGAAACAGGTAAACCAGTGAGAGGGAGATTATTTCACACAGTAGCAAGTACCCTGGAGAAAAACCCTGTGTACTCTGTGGTTATTGAGTTGACAGTGAGAAGTTATGGTCAGTTTAGATTGGAGGGGCCAGCATTGTAGCTCAGTGGTTAAGCTGCCACGTGGGATACTGGCATCCCATATCAGAGCACTGGTTCCTGGCTGCTCCACTTCGGATCCAGCTCCCTGCTAGTGCACCTGCAAAAGTGGCTGATGGCCCAGATACTTGGAACCCTGCCACCCATGTGGGAGATACGGATGGAGTTCCAGTCTCTTGACTTTGGCCTGGCCCAGCCTCAGCCATTAGGGCCATTTGGGGAGTAAACCAGAGATGGAAGATCTCTTTCCCTCTCTTGTCTCCCCTCCTTTCTCCTCTCTTCTCCCCTCCTCCCCACCCCTCCCTTCCCCCTTCCCCTTCCTTCCCTTCTCTCCCTTTCAAATAAAATAAATCTTTAAAAAATAATTTAGGCTGGAGTCGAGGCATGGCTGAAACTGCATTTGAGCTGAGACCTGCGTGAGAGGCCAGCGTTAGGGTAGCTGGGGAGGGCCTGTCGGCCGAGGAGGCCGGCCTGGGTCTGCCTTCCACTTTGGTGGCCAGGGCGGCCAGAGCGTCACACACACAGTGGGACCTGCGGCCTCGGAGTGACTGCTGGGCCAGGGTGGCCAGAGTGTCACACAGTGGGGCTGGCGGCCTCGGAGTGACTGCTGGGCCAGGGAGGCCAGAGTGTCCCACGCACAGTGGGGCTGGCGGCCTCTGAGTGACTGCTGGGCCAGGGAGGCCAGAGTGTCCCACGCACAGTGGGGCCGGCGGCCTCGGAGTGACTGCTGGGCCAGGGCGGCCAGAGTGTCACACAGTGGGGCCGGCGGCCTCGGAGTGACTGCTGGGCCAGGGCGGCCAGAGTGTCCCACGCACAGTGGGGCCGGCGGCCTCGGAGTGACTGCTGGGCCAGGGAGGCCAGAGTGTCCCACGCACAGTGGGGCCGGCGGCCTCGGAGTGACTGCTGGGCCAGGGAGGCCAGAGTGTCCCACGCACAGTGGGGCCGGCGGCCTCGGAGTGACTGCTGGGCCAGGGCGGCCAGAGTGTCCCACGCACAGTGGGGCCGGCGGCCTCGGAGTGACTGCTGGGCCAGGGCGGCCAGAGTGTCCCACGCACAGTGGGGCTGGCGGCCTCGGAGCGCGGTCTCCCAGTTGTGCATGTGGGAGTGGCGCCCGCTGTCCTGCTGCGAGGAATCCTGTTTTTCGTTGTCTCCCAGACTTGGTGGAGTCACAGGCACTGGGAGCGGCGACCCTTGTTTTAGTTTGCGTTTGCCGGATGCGGAGTTGACCCTTGCTCTGCAGAGTGAGCCTGGCAGGTCCCATCGCTGTGTCTCAATGCTGTGTCGTCAGTGGCTGCTCCCACACTGGCAGGCCTTTGCAAAGGAGCCGCTTTTGGGGCGCGCTGGAGGCACTGGGTGCCGCCCCAGAGGTGGCGTGTGCCCTTGCGGCACGTTCTGCTGCGCTGGGAACTCTGTGTTCACCTTGGGGAGCTGTGGGGTTTGTTGTGATTGCCAGCCTTGGCGTGACTGAGCCATGTTCTTCCTGATCAGAGGCCTCTGCTGGACAGGGGACCTGGTGTCTGTTGGTCTCACCTGTACTTCCTGCAGCCCGGCAGTCGACTCCGTGTTCTTACCCCTCCCATTATAAAACTGAGTTGACTGTGGCTTTAAAGAAATTCTGTTTAATTTTTTAAAAGTGGACCTATCTTGACTTACCAACAAGTCTGGGAATTAGAAAATTAGGTTTCAAAGGTTTTGGAGATTTCTAGGTTTTCATTTATTATAAATTTTTTATTTGTTTGAAAAAGAGGGAGAGAGAGCTCCCCCGCCACCCACCCCCTCCCGCCATTGGCAGGTTCACTCCCCACACGCCCACAGATGGCAGAGGCTGAAGCCAGGAGTGGGGAATGCATCCAGGTCTGGTGGGTGGTAGGAAGCCACTGCTGCTCCCCAGGGTCTGCACGGCGGGGAGCCGACTCAGGAATTAATCCGGGCACTCCGATATGGGACACGGACAGCTTACCTGCTGGGCTGAACACCCACTCCCAGGTGTTGGAGATTCTTGGAGCACAGCCCTTGAGTTCCGTGGGACTGAGCTGATGGTACTGTTGTACTCTGAAGGTGTTCTTTGTCTCTATGGCCGTGCTTAGAGAATTGGGCTGGTAACTTTTATCTTTTTATTTCTACTTTCTACGTAATAATTTCTTTTGGACATGCTACTGAACTATTCTATAGTTAATTTAAAAGGCAAACATTATTGTTCTAAAATTGTAAGTTGTTTTCCTTTTTACCGATTTTTGGCTTAGTTTGCGATGATCCTGCGTTTATTTTTCAGGTATCTCAACACCCAGTTCATTAAAAAGAACAAGTTGACAGAAGCTGACCTGCAGTATGGCTATGGTGGTGTGGACATGAATGAGCCTCTCATGGAGATAGGAGAGGTAGGGCAGACACACGCGTGTCTTTCTGTGTGTGTGTGATTTGACTCAGCATTGTGGTTAAGGACACTGGGTTGACTGTGTTAAAATTGTCACGGTTTTAACAGCCAAGTTCTAAGTAAATAAAGTGCTGTGATGACTTCCCAAACATCCTCAGGTAGGTCAGACGGACAGAAAAGATCAGAGTGTTACTATTTTAATAATCAAATTTATGAAAGATGAATGACTGGATTAATGGTTCTGCAGTGGGAAAAAGCTCATGAAAGTTGTTTAGAAACTGTTGTTAAGCAGTATGAAGAGCAAGGACCTAAAAGGCTGGAAGAGAGGAGACATTCCTTCACGTTCTTGGGACAATGCGAATTGAAGCGCAGACAGTGACAGACTAGCCCTGCTGGTGCTGAGAGAAGCACTCTTACACAGATTGTGCACGCGGTTGTGTTCTGTGAGAACCTGGTGCCGTGTAGTAGGGACGTGGCACAGTTCATGACGCCAGCCACCTGCGTGCCACGTCCCGCTTTTGTCACAGTGAGCCTCGCTGAGTGCTGGCTTGTTCGGTGTCTGTGGGAGGCTGCTGCTCGAGTTGGGAACAGCGCAGAGGGGACTGTTAACTCACGGCACATGATTTACATATAGGAAGGCGTTGCAAGGGTTCATGGGAAATGGAAGGAAACCAGGTTGCTCTGGGTGTAAGAGTCTGGAATCCGCACATAGCTGCTTCATAGAGCACGTTTCCTGTGGGGGTCTCTGGGAAGGAGCGGTGTTTCGTAGAGGGCACCCAGACGTGGAGGCTGCGTCCCACACACCCTGGGTGCCGACTGCATTTCTCCCGGCCTTGCACGCACTCCGCAGCTGGAAGACACTGTTTTCCTACGCATCAGCTCTTTCTACCGTATTCGTGCTACTTACAAAGAAAACAAGGCACACTGGCAGGTGCTGCTGTGGGGAAATGATTGCTTTTACCTACACCGTGGAGCAGAATGAGGTTGCCCCGGGGACACAGGAAACAGAGGCTGGAAGTAGCCCACGTGGCTGCAGTTGGGTTGGAAGCAGAGCAGTCAGACTTCAAAACTGATTCGTTTTTGGTACTAGAATGTTCTTTACTCTGAGTGGGAAAAACATTGATGTTCAAAGGCTTCAATATGAAAAACAACACTGGACAACCTTTGCAGGGCAAAGTGGGAGGGCACATGTGACTGAAAGACACAGAAAATGTAAGTCACGGGAAGTGGATGAACCTGAGTACATGAGGATGTGTTTCACTAAGAAACACTGCAGGGGCCGAAGTTGTGGCACGGCGGCATCCCGTGTGGGCACCAGTCCACGTCCCAGCTGCTTGCTCTGATGCACCTCCCTGCTGCTGTGTCTGGAAGGGCAGCCGATGATGGCCCAGGCACTTGGGTCCCTACTGTCCGTGCAGGAAACCCTGATGGAGTTCCTGGCTCCTGGGTTCAGCTTGGGCCAGCCCTGGCCGTTGCAGCCATTTGGGGAGTGAACCAGTGGGTGAAAGATCTCTGCAAATCTGCCTTTCAAATAAATGAATAAATCTTTAATAAATAAATAATAAATTAAAACCCTGTTAGGAAACTGAGAAATTGAGTTGCTAAGACAGACAGCTGTATGTCAGGCTGTGAAGGATTATGCTACATAATCTGTAAGGAACTCCTACGTTTCATCCGGAACAGGACAGAGTTTAACAGTGGGAAAATCCTTAGAGGATGCTTCATGGTAGCAAAACCAAGGAAGTGGTGCCCCGCTGCCCTCGAAAACCACCAGGGGACTGCACCTGGCACGCAGCCGATGGGCAGCGCCACTTGAGAGGAGCCTGGCTGAGGACGATGCTCGTCTGCTGCCGAGTGCCGGCAAGTTGGAATACCCTGGGCTTCGCTGGGTGCCCCACCCTCCGCCTCCCCGTGTCAGGGAGCCCTTGGCCTTGTGGGCCCCGGGCTGCACCCAGGAGTAGCAGCCTTGTGCTCAGTGGGAGGGATCTGGAACCAGAGACCCAGCAGCAGGGGGACAGAACAGTGCATCGTACCGTGGGACACTGCGTGGCGACAGCAGACCGAGTTACAGCTGGGCGCTTCAGTAGCAGCCTGTCCTTGAAAGCCATGGGTAGAACCCAGAATGCCTGTCGTCACGGAGCTGGTCAGCTTCAGGCTGTTTTGTGGGAGCAGGCAGGATGCGGATACCTGTGGTGGACTGTGGGTCCAGGGGAGTTTTGTCTTATTCTTTAAGCCAGCTCTCCCTTTCGTATTTACATGAGGTATTTTCATAATTTGCAAAACCAGCCGACAGCCAGATCATGTTACCTTGTTTAAATCTTTTGTTTCTATTGCGATCTTCATGTCTGTAGCACATCTGCAGTGCCAGGCACTGAACAATCAATAAATGAAGGTTTTATAAAAATCTCTGGTTTCCACTAATTTACAGTTATTGTGGATATTTTAATTCTGTTCTTTGTGTGAGTCTGATGTGATGGTCATTGCCATTTTAAATTAGAAACTTATTCTGTTTTCATTCTCATTGAGTTTTCTTTTGAATTTTGAACATTGTATTTATTTTGGAGAGTATTTTTGCTTTAATAAAGAATCTTAAGCAGATGTTAAGAGCACATACTAAGAATTCAACCTTGATGCCTTCGTTTTTCCTGGCAGCTGGCACTGGACATGTGGCGGAGGTTGATGGTTGAACCTCTTCAGGCCATCCTCATCAGAATGCTATTGCGCGAGATCAAAAGGTGAGTGCTGGTGCCCCTCCAGGACCAGTCTCCAGGCCGCCCCGCCCACCAGGCACTGTCCTCCGGGCCGCCCCGCCCACCAGGCGCTGTCCTCCAGGCCGCCCCGCCCACCAGCACTGTCCTCCGGGCCGCCCCGCCCACCAGCACTGTCCTCCGGGCCGCCCCGCCCACCAGGCGCTGTCCTCCAGGCCGCCCCGCCCACCAGCACTGTCCTCCGGGCCGCCCCGCCCACCAGCACTGTCCTCCAGGCCGCCCCGCCCAACAGCACTGTCCTCCGGGCTGCCCCGCCCAACAGGCGCTGTCCTCCAGGCCGCCCCGCCCACCAGGCACTGTCCTCCAGGCCGCCCCGCCCACCAGGCGCTGTCCTCCAGGCCGCCCTGCCCACCAGGCACTGTCTACCAGGCACTGTCCACCAGGCCACCCCCAGCCAGGCACTGTTCTCCGGGCCGCCCCGCCCACCAGGCACTGTCCTCCGGGCCGCCCTGCCCACCAGGCACTGTCCTCCGGGCCGCCCCGCCCACCAGGCACTGTTCTCCGGGCCGTCCCGCCCACCAGGCACTGTCCACCAGGCCACCCCACCCACCAGGCACTGTTCTCCGGGCCGCCCCGCCCACCAGGCACTGTCCTCCGGGCCGCCCCGCCCACCAGGCACTGTCCTCCGGGCCGCCCCGCCCACCAGGCACTGTCCTCCGGGCCGCCCCGCCCACCAGGCACTGTCCTCCGGGCCGCCCCGCCCACCAGGCACTGTCCTCTGGGCCGCCCCGCCCACCAGGCGCTGTCCTCCAGGCCGCCCTGCCCACCAGGCACTGTCCACCGGGCCACCCCGCCCACCAGGCACTGTCCTCTGGGCCGCCCCGCCCACCAGGCACTGTCCTCTGGGCCGCCCCGCCCACCAGGCACTGTCCTCTGGGCCGCCCCGCCCACCAGGCACTGTCCACCAGGCCACCCCGCCCACCAGGCACTGTCCTCCGGGCCGCCCCGCCCACCAGGCACTGTCCACCAGGCCACCCCGCCCACCAGGCACTGTCCTCTGGGCCGCCCCGCCCACCAGGCACTGTCCTCTGGGCCGCCCCGCCCACCAGGCACTGTCCACCAGGCCACCCCCGCCCACCAGGCACTGTCCTCTGGGCCGCCCCGCCCACCAGGCACTGTCCTCCGGGCCGCCCCGCCCACCAGGCGCTGTCCTCCAGGCCGCCCTGCCCACCAGGCACTGTCTACCAGGCACTGTCCACCAGGCCACCCCCAGCCAGGCACTGTTCTCCGGGCCGCCCCACCCACCAGGCACTGTCCTCCGAGCCACCCCGCAGGCCGCCCCGCCCACCAGGCACTGTTCTCCGGGCCGCCCTGCCCACCAGGCACTGTCCTCCGGGCCGCCCTGCCCACCAGGCACTGTCCTCCGGGCCGCCCCGCCCACCAGGCACTGTTCTCCGGGCCGTCCCGCCCACCAGGCACTGTCCACCAGGCCACCCCACCCACCAGGCACTGTCCTCCAGGCCGCCCCGCACACCAGGCACTGTCCACCAGGCCACCCCACCCACCAGGCACTGTCCTCCAGGCCGCCCCGCCCACCAGGCACTGTTCTCCGGGCCGCCCCGCCCACCAGGCACTGTCCACCAGGCCACCCCGCCCACCAGGCACTGTCCTCCGGGCCGCCCCGCCCACCAGGCACTGTCCACCAGGCCACCCCGCCCACCAGGCACTGTCCACCAGGCCACCCCGCCCACCAGGCACTGTCCTCCGGGCCGCCCCGCCCACCAGGCACTGTCCTCTGGGCCGCCCCGCCCACCAGGCACTGTCCTCCGGGCCGCCCCGCCCGGCTGGGGCTTTGATGGAACTTAGGCCTCCTTTTGCTGTGGTGGCCTCATACTTCCTAGTGCCAGGGTTCTAAAGCTGTCTCAGCGTCTACAGTTCCATCTGGGGGCTTTGCTCTCATCCAGCATCCTCATACACTTGGTAGATGGATAAGCGCCTGAGGCCAGGGACCTGTGGCTTCTGTATCCTGAGCCTGGTCCCCTACACTCAGGTTACGTCCTGACAGAGTCACTGCCAGGACATAGGCTCTCCTCGTCAGCGGTAACTTCTGTGCCACACAGGTGGCTGTGTGAATGCGGTTTGGACAGAGCAGTTCCCAGTGCAGTGGGAGTGGAGCAGGCCTCGCCCTGCTGGCAGCTCCACGTCACAGGAATGTGTGTGTGAGGGTGGGAACTGTGGGGCTGCTCCGCCCACATCTCTCGCTGCAGCAAGTGCCCAGCACAGAGCTCTCCAAGCCAGGGACGGTCTCTTGCTGCACTGGTCCCCCCATGAGGCTCCCGTAGGAAGGAAGGGGTTAAATACACACTCTGGCCAGGAAAGAGGAGCAAGGGCAGCTGTTTCACGTTAAAAGTATGAAAATATTGTTACAATTTCTGGAAGTACTTTTATGATATGTCTCTTCTAATATAATTTTGTTCCAACCCAGTAAATTTTTCTTAACTGTGATCGTTAGCTTGTTAAAATGAATTTGATAAAAAATGGATGAATCTCTATGTAAGAAAAATAGCACAACTCTATGATACTTACTCTGGAAAATACATGATGATCTATCTGGTCACAGACGTTAGCACAGCCTGTCTTATTTCCAGTTTCCGTCAGTGTGTTGTTAGCCGTACTTTTCTCCATGTACACATTCCTCACGTCAGCTCTATCTGATGGCTGTTATCCCACATTTTCCTGAAACGGAAATCAACATTATAATAATGAAAATTAAACATGGGGTAGAAACATTTTCATGTATAATACCTTGAATAGTCCGGTGTTTTCTCAGATAGTCTTTATGAAATCTTGAGAACCCAGGACCAGTTTTATTTGTAAGTAAATTACTCACGAGGAGATAGGAATTCCTGGACTTGAGCTAGCACAGGAAGCAAGCTGCAAGCATTTTAGCCTTCCAGAGTGAGTGTTCCCGGTGCACTGCTTGGACGTCTGCTTTCTGCTCTTGTTTGTGCCAGCATGGACAGGTATCCTCATGTTACCGTGAGTGAGCTGTGGTGGCAGGCACTCTAAGTAACCTCGTCTGACCCTTACAAAGGATAGAATGGCGAATATCGCCATGAACTCATTTCACGAGGCAGGAAAATGAGGCTGGAATCAGACACAGCTTCCCTGTGTTGTGTCCAGGGTGCCTCAGAACCGGAATTAGAACTTAGGTCATTCTGCTCCCAAGGGCTGTGGTGTCTCCATATGTGCTGTGTCCTTAGAAATCATTTGCTCTGGCCGCATCTCACTGCCAGACTTAGAGAGTAAACTCTCTTCACAGTGTGGCAGAACCTGTTGTGTATTTGATTTCCTACACCTTTCTCACTGCTTTCTTTCCTTGAGTGACTGTCTACTCTGTACAATCTAGAGAGCTTATTTTGGGCTGGTGGTTGGCCACATCTGGCCATTGTAAATCAAGATTACACCAGGCATGTTCAAAGAGGATCTTTGTTTATTTTTACTTTTTTGAAAAAGAGGAAGGGAAACTGGTTCACTGGTTCATTCCTCAAACGCCAGAACAGCGAGGGCTGGTAAAGGCTGAAGCCAGGAGGCAGAAACTCAGTCCAGGTCACCCACAAGGGTAATCTGGCCCCAACTACTTTATCACCTGTCCCTCCCAAAGTGTGCATAAGCAGGAAGTGTAGACAGAACTTGAACCCCACATGCTCTGATACGAGATGTGGGCATTTCAAGCAGTGTCTGTAATTGCCATGCAAACACTGCTCCGTCAAGAGAATATCTTTTTATGTTTTTATTTTATTTTATTTGAAAGGCAGAATGACAGAGAGAGGAAGATACAGAGAGAAGAGAGATCTTCCATCTGATGGCTCACTCTCCAAACGGTTGCAATGGCTGGGGCTGGGCCAGGCCGGAGCCAGGAGCCAGGAACTCCATCCAGGTCTCCCACATCAGTTCAGGGACCCAAGCACTTGGGCCATCTTCTGCTGCTTCCCCAGGCGCATTAGCAGGGAGCTGGATCAGAAGTGGAGCAGCCAGGACTTGAACCGGCTCCAGTATGGGATGCCAACACTGCAGGTGGTGGCTTAACCCACTACACCACAACGCCGGCCCCAAAAGAGTATCTTTCTACAAAAAAAGTCCTAACAGTGCTATGCACTGATCTGCAGGAAAATATGCAGGAGGTTGCTAAGGAAAGTCAGACCTTTCTCTTCTGCCAGTGTCTCAAGTGCTGCTACTTAACGGCAGCTTCTGTGAAGGACTTTAAGTGTTTTCCAATAAAAGTTCTGTATGGTTGGAGATTGTGTTGTACATGCACACATATCTATACGTTTATACGGTATACGCATGAATACTTGCATATGTACTGGGTAATGCATGTACATCACAGGCATCAAAATATGTGTTTTCCTGGAAAGTTCTGAAAACCCCTCTATACATGAATTTCAGAGTTTATTGCAGTAAAATAAACACCTTTTAATCTCATTTTCCATGAACTTTTTTGAAGAGGTGTGTGTGTGCACACTTTGGGGAACTTTTTGGAAGCATTTATATCTGGTTCCCCTCCCATCTGCACTGAATCAAACTCTAGAGAGTAGGAACTTTACGTTCATGCATAAACCAGGCTAGCATTTGTGAAGACCCACTTCGTAAAAAGCTTCATAAAAAGATTATTTACCCGAAAGGCAGAGAAACACAGAGAGAGAGAGGGAGAGAGAGGGGTCTTCCATCCACTGATTCATTCCTCAAATGGCCACAACAGCTGAGACGGGGCCAGCAGCCAGGAACCCTCTCTGGGTTTCCCAGGTGGGTGGCAGGTGTCTTCTGCTGGTTTGCCAGGTACATTAGCAGAGAGCTGGATAGGACGGCTAGCAACTGGGACTCAAGCCCCTGGTGAGAACTGCATTTGCTTAGTGGAACTCACAGATTGCGAGTTGCAGTGTGCCCATGTTTTGCTTTTGTTGAACTGGTAGAGGTTTTTTTGTTCTGAAGTGGAGCAAAACTGTGGTGACTTAATCCCTCTCTGTGGTCTGCTTTTCCTGTTGGATTTGTTGGTCTATCTTGTGCCAACCTTACT